GAGTGTCATATGTAAGTCATAGCAGGTAATTGTTCCACTCTAGTCGGAAATGGTAAGGTCCTAACTGGAGTACTGCGTCCAGTTCTGGGCATCACATTCAAGAAAGATGTGTGCAAATTAGAGAGTCCAGAGGAGAAAAACTAAAATGATAAGTTTAGAAAACATGACCTATGAGGAAAGGTTGAAAGAATTGGACATGTTTATTCTGGAGAAGAGAAGACTGAAAAGGGACATAAGTCTTCAAATATGTAAAAGGTTGTTATAGGGAAGGCAGTGATCAATTGTTCTTCAGTGGACATGTAGGTAGGACAAGAAGTAATCCGCTTAAATTGCAGCCTGGGACATTTAGGTTAGATATTAGAAAGTTTTTCCTAACTATAACAATAGTCAAGCACTGGAGCAGGTTATCTAGTGAGGCAGTGGAATTCCAGTCATTGGAGGCTTTTAAGAACAGGTTAAACCAGGGGTTGGCAACCTTTCAGAAGTGGTGTGCCGAGTCTTCATTTATTCACTTTAATTTAAGGTTTCACGTGCCAGTAATACATTTAAAGGTTTTTTAGAAGATCTCTCTCCCTATAAAAGTCTATATATTCTATAACTAAACTATTGTTGTATTGTAAAATAAACAAGGTTTTCAAATGTTTAAGAAGCTTCATTTAAAATTAAATTAAAATGTTGATCTTACGCCGCCGGCCCGTTTAGCCTGCTGCTGGTCTGGGGTTCCATTCACCTAGGCCAGCAGCGGGCTGAGTGGGGCCTGCGGCCAGGACCCCGGCTGGCAAGGGGCTGGCAGCCAGAACCCCGGGCTGGCAGTGGGTTGTGTGGGGCCAGCGGCTGGGACGCCAGATGGGCAGTGGGCTGAGCAGCTCAGCCCGCTGCTGCTCAGGGGTTCCATCCGCTTGCTCCTGCCAGCCAGGATCCCAGCTGCTGGACCCGCTCAGCCCGCTGCTGGTCTGGGGTCCTGGTCCTGGCCCTACCCACATAGAGTGGGTACCTACCTTCTCCCTGGTTCTGCCCCATTCTCTTCCTCTCTCTCCACACTGAGCTCAGGATGGGAGTGGACTGAGCACAGGGCTGGGGGTGAAGGAGCGGGCTGGGGGTTGGGGTGTAGGATCTGGCCAGGAGCTAGAATGAGGGAGGGGGCTCAGGGTTGGGGCAGGAGGTTTGGGTGTGGAGTGCTTGCCTGGGCAGCTCCCATTTGGTGGGAGGGGTGCAGGTGGGAATGTGGGGGGGGGGGAGTGCAGGAGTTCCTGTTTGGTGCTCAGGGTGGGGGTCGGGATGTGGGGAGTGCATGGGGGCTGGGTATGTGGGGGGATGCCGGTGTCAGGGCATGGGGTGTGGGGGAAGGTGAAGGAGTCAAGCAGAGGGCTGGGTGTGTGTGAGGGGGGTACAAGGCTCAGGGCAAGGGCCTGGGGGGGCAGTGCGGGGCTGCAGGGCTCAGGGCAGAGGGCTGGGTGTGTATGTGTGGGGGGTCAGGGCAGAGAGCTGGGGTGTGGGCTGCTCATGGCAGGGGGATGGAGGAGGTATGCCCTGCCTCCACCCCGCCCACCCCCGCTCTCCAAGGCCCTGCCTCCGCTTCTTCTCTGCCTCCATTGGGAGCAGCGAGCACGCTGACCCCGTTCCTCCCCCACCCCCTCGCAAGGGCAATCAGCTGATCGGCTGGCAGGGAGGGACAGAGAGGAGGAGGAGGAGGGGCAGGAACCCAGCACACTGCAGGAAGAGGCAGGGGAGCCAGCAGGACCAAGTTTCTGCCCCCTGCGCCCACGGGAAGGGGCGGGGGGCGGAGAAGAGTAGGCTGGGCTGGGCAGGGCAGGATTTTTAATGGCATGCTGCTACTGCCCCGGCAGGCAGCAGCGTGCCATTAAAAATGGGCTCCCGTGCCGTCTTTGGCACACGTGCCATAGGTTGCCGACCCCTGGGTTAAACAAACCCTTGTCATGGAAAGTCCTGGTATACTTAATGCATTCTGAGCATGGGGGTGGTTGAACTAGATGACCTTCTGAGGCCCCTTCCTGCTCTACATTTTGATAGTTTGTTTAGTAGAATTTTCCTATTAAAGGCGCAAATCAAATAAGATTGATTGTGATTATTTGATCCAATATAATTTAAAAATCAGAATGTTTTCATGAATTAGTCCATCCTGTAGAGTAGCATATAGTATTTTGTCTATTGATTTGAAAAAAGAATCTTAAAATGGTCTAAAATAGTAAAAGGGCAATACTATTAAAAACTATTTATTTATATTAGACTAGCAAATGCATGCACATCATTTTATTGTCGAGAATGATCAAATTTTACCCAGGTTTTGCAGGAAATTTAAGCCTGAAGCTAATACATTGCTCTAAATCTGAAGTCCATCAGTACAACCAGATTTTTTTTATACTTTATTTTTCATGTTGGAAAACTTTAGAATCATTTGCATTGTAGCACTCTAGATACATCATGAAGTTATATTTTAGTTGTAGATGCTAATATCCCTAATTTAACAACCATTTTTTAAAATGTTGGATGTTATGGTGGGCAAAGGATTTTGTTCTACCAAGAACTGGTTGTATAAATCTCTTCAGATTATTAGTGGAATTATGATATTTCTATATTATCAACAGGGCTAGATGATTTTAGTAAAGAAAATACTTTTAATGAAGCTTACAAGTATTAAATTTTCTAAGAGATGGTTAAATGTGAGCTCATTAATTTTAAATGCATTTGCTCTTTTTAAATTTAAATTCCTTTCTTAACCCCCATTATTTTCAGATATTTTTTTAATGCTCACAAAGGTATTTACTACAGTGAGATACAGCTTCAGATTTCTCCAGAAATGTACTGATCTTTATTTGAATAGTGTACCCTAGATCAGAAGAAGAATTCATCTGCAGCTTATATCCTTCTATGAACAAGTGCTGAAAAGAGTTTTGCCATTTACCTAATTAAACTCAATTTCCTACTACTTAACTTGTCAGTTAGTGGAAAGGAAAGTGAATTCCATTATTGAAGACTACAAATGTTAACTTACAGAAATGGATCCTCAGTGATTGTTCATGTTTTGTGATCATTCAATGACTTACAAAGAGGGGTTGTTCCTTTACCACTTTTGATTAAAGGTACGCATTAATGCATCTGAAATGTTATCAGATACAGCAAATATGTTGTGCTACTCAAATGAAATGATAGACTTGTATAAGGGACAATTCTTACAACAAATAGGTTATTGAGGGCAGATTCTTGGCTATTCTATGCTTGCTTTTACAGTACTGTAGTGGCACAAAGTAGCCGTAAAACCAGCGTATCCAGCTGAGGATCCTCCTTGTGTAATGAGAATTCCCAGTATTGCCAACATGAAGTGTTCAAAAATAATGAATCAGGGTCAAATCATAAGATTAGTTTAAAAATCTCAAAATTTTAAAATAAAGTTTGTCATCTTATTTTCCTTCTGACTTTTGAGCCTCCATTGGGCTGGGATCATATTTTCAAGATTTTCTCCCCAACCATTAAAGCTGGAAACATGCTTGGGGGGCAGAGGGGATGAAAAGCAGAGAATTTTACACTATCTCCAGGAGCTGGGACCTTAAGAAAGCCCTCCAATATGGTGAGTCTCCTGATAAAGTTGGGAGAGCTGGCAACACTGTCAGTGGCATATAAAGTAACAGATCCTCTTCATCACCATACCCACTAGGCATGTGATTGTAGCGTCCCCATGCTCCCATGTATCCCAGCTTCTAGAATGCCGCTATGGTACTTGTGATAGGGAGAATGTGTTCCATGCATGGCTGAGGCAGAAGGCTGAGAAGGGAAACCTAGACCATAATAATTACCAAAGCTTCCAGGCTTGAGCTGGGTGGGGTGGGGTGCATGGTGTTGACATAGGTGACCTCTTAGGGTATGTCTACATGGAGATGAAAAGCATGTAGCTGGCCCAGGGCAGCTGATTTGGGATCTCCATACTTGAGCTCTGGAGCTGAAAAACTTCTGTGTAGATGTTTAGTCTGGAATGAAGCCTGAGCTCTGGGACCCTGCGAGGCTGGAGGGTCGCTGAGCCCGAACATCTACACAGCAATTTGTAGCCCTGTAGCCCGAGCCCTATGAGCCTGAGTCAGCTGACCCACCACGACCATGCTGCAGGGGTTTTATCCCTGAGCAGATGTACACTTAGGTTGCTGGAAGTGGGAGCTGGCAGTTGTGAATGCTAAATGCAGAAGACATAAGAAGCAGCAGGGGCTTGTAGAGCGGAGGGAGAAGTGATGTCATACTTCCTTCTAGCCTAGGAGGCTGCTGAATCAACCTGCAGGCCTGGAAGGAAGGAAGCCAGGATGGACAGACAGACAAACCAACTGGGAATTTACTGTCTAACTGACACAGAAGGATTATACCAGAAAAGCAAACTGCAGTAAAGACTATTTTGTTGAGGCCTTTCTTGGAGCTGAAGGAAGCCACCCTGTATTGGTTGGGGTGTGTGTGTGTTGTTTTTCCTTTGGCTGAGGCTTCAGCAAGCTGCAACTGAGGCCTTGTTCTTTTCTGAACCTGGCTTACCAGGGCAGAAGTAAGAACTAACTGGGACAGTGTTCAGCAGTATGGCTTACTACACCACTCCCACAACGACTGCTTGTGCTCCAGATTCTCAGTATCCTTGTTTTATTTTTTTAAAGATGTTGAAAATGCAAACCATGTGCAAATAATGCACAAGTCTGATGCCTGAATCTTCAGAGTGCATAAAACAATAGCTCTAAAAGGTGTAACCCTCTCCATTTATCTCACTAAGGGTGCTAACTCAGTTGATGTTTATAGCATCATAATTGGCAACATACTTAACTGTGTGTTTGCCATTGTGTAGATCTAGTATGTTCTTAATTTACTCTGAGTGACAGCTCATTTTGGTTCCAGGTGTGGGTGGACATGAGAGATCTTTTGCTACAGTTACTATCGAAGACTACAATAACAGCCCAGGATGTGTCAAAAGACTTGAATTGCAAATTGTATCTCAAGTGGTGGTCGTGTACCTCTTGGTCATAAATGCAGGGACTATTCCTATCACTTCTGATGGCAGATTTGAGCAATTTGTAGACATTAGTTTGTCTTAGCCAAACAGAGCTGCAGCAAGCGAGCTCTCATCTAAGCCCCAATCTTCAGCAGACACCAAGTCATCTACTTTATTGCCATTATTGAATCAGCTCTACTTTTGGGCAATCTACTGCAAACACATACTTCAAGAAGGAAAGACTCTTTCTGCATGCTAATCGCAGTTAGAATGCTTTCTCCAGCTCCACACCAAAGGAATTGTTCCCTGGTAAAAGTGACTCATGGCTTCTTTTCTTGCTATGTCTAAGGGTCACTTCTTTATATTCATTCTTGTCAATCTTCCATAAATATCCCGAAACGCCCACTTCTTCTTGATGCTTTCTCATCCCTGGCTTTCTGTGACTCTTTCCTTTATTGGTTCTCTTATTTAGTTGATTACATCTTCTGTGTTAGCTTTAGTAGATCCTCTTCTTCCTTCTACCCTCCTTCTATGATTGTCACCCAGGGCTCCATCCTCAGTCCTCCCTATTTCACTATACGCTTAATCTGTTATTGTTGAGACTCAAGTCTCTCTTGGTCATCTCCAACTTGCATCTTTCCAACAACTTCTTCTGGATGTCCTGCAACTTGCTAACCAAATAAGACAGACGCAGTAAGGGAACGCATAACATGTGACTTCTGTTTTATGATCAATCTAACCCAGTATGAAATAATAAAACCAAATATTGAAAAAATACTATAAATTACTTAGCACATAAGAACAGCCATACTGGGTCAGACCAATGGTTCATCTAGCCCAATATCCTGTCTTCCATCAGTGGCCAATGCCAGATGCTTCAATGGGAATGAACAGAACAGGCAGTCATCAAGTGATCCATCCCCTCTCTTCCACTCCCAGCTTCTGGCAAACAGAGGCTAGGAACATGCAGAGCATGTGTTGCATCTCTGTCCATCCTGGCTAATAGCCATTGATGGACCTATTCTCCATGAACTTTAGTTCTTTTTTAGAACTCTGTCATAGTTTTGGCCTTCACATCTCCTGGAATGGAGTTCCACAGGTTGGCTGTGTGTTATGTGAAGTACTTTTGTTTTAAATCCGCTGCATGTAAATTTCATTGGGTGACCCCTAGTTCTTATGTTATGTGAAGGAGTAAATAACATTTCCTTATTCACTTTTTCCACACCAGTTAAGATTTTATAGACCTTTATCATATACCCCTTAGTAGTCACTTTTCCAAGGTGAAATATCCCAATCTTTTTAATCTCACCTCACATGGGAGCTGTTCCATACCCCCAGTCATTCTTGTGCTTCTCTGTACCTTTTCCAATTCCAATATATCTTCTTTGAGATGGGGCAACCAGATCTGCACAAAGTATTAAAGATGTGGGTGTACCATGGATTTATGTATAGGCATTATGATATTTTCTGTCATCTTATCCCTTTTAGTTCCCAACATTCTGTTCACTTTTTTGAGTGCTGCTGCACACTGAGTAGATGTTTTCAGAGAACTATCCATAATGACTCCAAGTTTGTTCTTGAGTTGTAACAGCTAATCTAAACCCCATCATTTTGTATGTATAGTCGGGATTATGTTTTTCAATATGCATTACTTTGCATTTATCATATGGAATTTAATCTGCCATTTTGTTGCTCAGTCAGTTTGTGAGATCCTTTTGTAACTCTTTGCTCTCTGCTTTGGACATAATGATCTTGAGTAATTTTGTATCATCTGCGCATTTTGCCATCTCACTGTTTACCCCATGTAACTGCCAAGAAGATTACCTAGATTCCTGGGGCTCTGTCTGCTGGCAGCTCAGAGGGAGGCACCCTGTCCCTGGTAGGGAGGGGGAGTCAAGGCAAACTCAGAGTCTGCCCGACAACCAATAGAGAGTGAGATGCCCTTCCCAGGGAGCTCAGGAAAGGGGAGAAGCCATTTTTTGAGTCAGTCTGGAGCCAGCCAAGGCAAGGGCAGGATTGGCTGTGTGGGGAGCTGGTGAGTCCCAGGCCTGCATGCAGGGTTCCCCCTGAGAACTGGCCTCTAGGGACCTGAAAGCAAAATCCTCAGCTGGGATTTTCCTTCTCCACTGATGATTCCCAGTTTGTAGAGTTTTGCTGGGAAACTTCTCCAGCCAGGCTGAATTAGCCCTCCAGCTCCTTAGATGAGACCAATCACTGCATGGTCAGCTCTGCTCTGGCTGCTAGTGGATGGATAAAGGGCTAAAAATTTGTATTCTATCAGGAAAAACAATGGATTGGGCAACTGTGTGAATATGATACTAATGTTGTGCAAGAATAGTGGGACCAATCCTGAGCACTTCTGAGAACTGTCAAGTCCCTCAACTTCCTTTAAGTGAACAGAAGTTCAGAATGCTTGGTAGGTACTGAGCACTTCACAGAATCAAAGTTGTAAATGACAAGATAGCTCAAGAATATAGTGCCAGATTTAAGGCAGTAGAGAGAAAGAGTTGGCTCAATCGTTTTGTATATTGTTATTGGTGCTGACCTCACCACTAAATCATAAGTGGAAGTTGCAGTACAACAGATGTAAAAAATGTCGTCAGCTGAATACACAGTCACATAAACCATCTATAATGACAGGTTTCAGAGGAACAGCCGTGTTAGTCTGTATTTGCAAAAAGAAAAGGAGTACTTGTGGCACCTTAGAGACTAACCAATTTATTTGAGCATGAGCTTTCGTGAGCTGTTGAAGTGAGCTGTAGCTCACGAAAGCTCATGCTCAAATAAATTGGTTAGTCTCTAAGGTGCCACAAGTACTCCTTTTCTTTTTATAAACCATCTAATTCATCTGTGTGGACTAATTCATATTTAAATATTGGGGAGGGACACAAACAAACTGCTAATCACTAGTAGGTTGGTGTACTCTGTGTAAGAGATCTGCATGTATAATTATTGGAGGTGTCAAGCAGACATTTCTCATTTTCTGCATAACTGTGGTCATGCCAAATGACATAATTGCTTTTCAGTCAAATACTGCCATTCACTTAGCTAACCTCATCACTGGCCAGTATGGGGAAGATGAAGCAGAACAATCCCCACAGTCTCTGCTAGTCCACCTAGTGGGTCGGGGGACAGGCCAGGGACCTTCCCCTCTGGTGGGACCCACAGTCCAAGTCAACTCCTCCTGTATCCACTAGGGTGTTAGGGGGATGGGGGGAACCCAGGCCCACCCTCTACTCTGGGTTCCAGCCCAGGGCCCTGTGGATCACAGATGTCTATAGTGTTTTGTGTAACACCTCTGTGACAGCTACAACTCCCTGGGCTACTTCCCTATGGCCTCCTTCCAACACCTTTTGTATCGTCACCACAGGACCTTCCTCCTGATGCCAGATAGCATTTGTACTCCTCAGTCCTCCAGCAGCATGCCCTCTCACTTTCAGCTCCTTGTGTGCACCTCACTAACTGGAGTGAGAGCCTTTTTTTAAACCAGGTGTCCTGATTAGCATTAATTCTAGCAGCTTCCCAATTGGCTACAGGTGTCTTAATTAGCCTGCCTGCCTTCATTAGTTCTAGAAAGTTCCTGAGTGTTCTGGAATAGTCCCTGTTGTTTTACCCAGGGAAAAGGGACCTGCTTAACCTGGGGCTAATATATGCCTTCTATCACTCTCCTGTAGCCATCCAGCCTGACCCTGTCACACTTGGATAAAAATGCATGAGAGAGAAAAAACCTGAAGCATCAAGAGATAAGCTAACTGCCAATGGCCTGGGATTTGGAAGAAAATTCTCCATGGGAACATTATTATATAGTTCTCCATTTTAGGGGTTTTATATAGCATCTGTTGTCTATCTAAGACAATAAACTGGTCATCATGTACTGCTGTCTGATCCAGCATGGCAGTTCCTAGGTTTTTGGTTTAAACACTGGTGAGTTTCAATTTCTGGACAACATAATGTCCTTTTGTCAAGGAACAGCAGCAGCATGGAAAGAATTAAGGGAACCCTACCCAACGTATGGCTGGGCGGGGTATATATGGAAGCAGAAGCTGGGTCCAGGAGTCATAAAGGAAGGGTGTCCCTCTTCCCCTGGCTGGTTGAGGTAGGGAAAAGCCTGGGAGGACTGTGTCCCACATTCATCAGATGAGTTACTTTATTCATGATATTTGATACAAGCAAGAAACCATGTCCCAAAGAAAAGAGCCTTAAAAAGGACTTGATAGTTGAGTTTGCTTCCCTTCCTCAGCTTATGAAATGGCTCAGTAGACTACAATCCTCCAAACAATCTGGGGAAATAAAGTACATCAAATTATGTCAGGCACTGTTTGACACAGTAAACTTGTGGGGTAAAATAACCTAAGCAGGATTGTACCCATATGTTACAATGCACATCAAAAGTTAGTATGAGAAACTTCTGTGAAGAAAGAAAAGGAGTACTTGTGGCACCTTAGAGACTAACCAATTTATTTGAGCATGAGCTTTTGTGAGCTACAGCTCACTTCATCGGATGCTCATGCTCAAATAAATTGGTTAGTCTCTAAGGTGCCACAAGTACTCCTTTTCTTTTTGCGAATACAGACTAACATGGCTGTTACTCTGAATTCTGTGAAGAAGTTTATCTGCAATCCATAAACGTAGTTTCAGCTTTGCCCTTGAAAAGTTTATCGTTCAATTTTGGTACCATATTTTCTTTCTTGTCAGATATTTATGATTTAAGAATCTCTGGACGTGTTAAAAGCTATTTATTCTGATATGCTTGTCACAGGATTGCTTGTCCTGGTCTCAGATCTGTCTGGTAAATGGCAGACAGTGGCTTACATGTACATCCCCTATAATAGCGTTGTAAATGCCTGTTTAATCACAAGAATTTAACAAAGCTGGCTATGCTATTCTCTAGAGAGAAGTACAAATATCTAGTTTTCCTAGTTTATTATATTTGTAGTTTTTAGATATCTTAAATTCCTCTCAAATATATATATTAGAGATCAACAAGCTGGAAGCTTTGCAGAGTAAGTTTAAGGAGAACTAAATAAAATTTGAGTGTAAAATCCCTGACCTTAACTAAACTGAATATTAAGACCACTGTTTGGCACAGTAAGTTTGTTGCCACAGTTGGGTAATTAGACACTAAATTATGTTGCAGTCTTAGTTTCTGCCAGCAGGTGGAACCTTGGTATGAAATAGCCTATATCTGCTGACCTTCAGGGCACACTATATGGCTCTCCTGTTTCTCAGAGCATTGGGAAGAGAGAGTTACTTAAGGAATGATGCTCAAGGAGGGAATGGGGAAGCTTGACAATTACCCTTTGATACTGTCTTCCCTCACAGGGCACTGGATTCATTCTTTTATTTATGGGCATTTCTACGGCTTGTAGTATCATCGTGTCATCATTAGATCTTTTTATTTGGTATATTCAGTAAAACCAGTGTATTTTTGATTACATCTCATATAGTTTTGGTTTTGTCTAATGGTTAATTACTGTGGGTTAAACTTCGTTGCATTAACAACACTGTTTATGGCCAAATCTTGTTGGTTGATAGTGGGATTAGTGCATTCACTATGGTATACTGTACTTACTGTGCATTGCTTTAATACTTTTCTCCTAATAGGATAGGGTTTTCATGTAGGCAAAAACGGAGAAGTTGTAGGCAACTGATCTTCTAGTGATGCATTTCAGTGACAAGGTTTTCATTATATTCACTATCTTGATGTATGTGCAGACTTTGGTCCATTCAGACCATTCCCATAATGGGACTGCCAAAATGCCTCATCCTTGCATTGTCACACTTTGTGGGCGTTTGATAGCCAACCCAGGATTTTAGTTTTATAAATGGCCCTTGTCTTTATAAAGGATAAAACCTCCAGAACTTTTGGGTGTTCAAGATTCTAATCTGAAACTATGCCCTGGTCTACACTAGGACTTTAGGTTGAATTTAGCAGCTTTAAATCGATGTAAACCTGCACCTGTCCACACGATGAAGCCCTTTATTTCGACTTAAAGGGCTCTTAAAATCGATTTCCTTACTCCACCCCTGACAAGTGGATTAGCACTTAAATCGGCCTTGCCGGGTCGAATTTGGGGTACTGTGGACACAATTTGACGGTATTGGTCTCGGGGAGCTATCCCAGAGTGCTCCATTGTGACGGCTCTGGACAGCACTCTCAACTCAGATGCACGATTGTTTGCCGTTGCTCTGACGCAGGGAGGGGTGACTGACGACACAGCTTACAGGGTTGGCTTACAGGGAGTTAAAATCAACAAAGGGGGTGGCTTTACATCAAGGAGTATTTCAGGCAGGACTTCACGGAGGGTTCCAATAAGAAATGATGCACCTAAGTTATTGTTGGAACAAGGAGGTTAGTCTGGCCTCTGATTGATACCTCGCTGCACCTTCTCTGTGAGTGACTGC